TATTACCCTTCCTACACATCCCACCTTCCCTACACCTTTAGCTCCTTTCTTCCCATTTCTAAATGTCAATAATCTTATTAGGATCTTCTGTATTATTGCAAATTATTCACACCGGAGAGACTATTCGGAATTTACACATGTGTGCCTTATTTCACTTAGGAGCATATCTTCAATATGTATCCATTTTCCTATGAATGAATCTATTTTCTCATTCTTTATGGCTGAGTAATATTCCATTTTATAGAAAAACCACATCTTCTTTATCCAGTTTCCAATGCATGGGCAAATGGGCTGTTTCCAAGTTTTAGCTATTACAAACTGTGCCGCTATAAACATGGGTGTGCATACTTCTCTGTGATATGATTCTTTTAGTTCTTTTGGAAAGATACCCAGCAGAGGGATGGCTGGGTCAAATGGAACCTCCAGTCCAAGCTCTTTGAGGTATCTCCATATTGATTTCCATAGTAGTTGCACCAGTCTTCACTCCCACCAACAATGGAGAAGGGTTCCTTTATAGTTTTGATGAAAGTACTGAACTATTGCTTCTTTAGATTCTATCATTCTGGTTTTCATTTGCTTGGATAGTAGATCTAGGGTTACCTTCAACTCTAGTTAAACTAATGATAACTTTCAAATTAGTATTAATGAGTGATATTTTACTATATTCACCTAGATTCTGACTAGCACTATCTGGAATATGCTTGGTGCCAATAATATGATATTAATACTGGAGTCCTAAGTTTGTAGAGTAAGAGGAATTTTCCAATTTACTTAGACTGCCATATCATGTAAATTATAGATTCCCTTTGATAGCAGCCTTAGAAGTTTGTCAGCCTCCAGAACTATGAGACAATAAAATTTCTGCTTTTTTCAGACGCTAAGTTTCTGGTATTTTCTTAGAGCAGGCCTAGCAAACTAGTATACTATCCAAATAAAATTTCTTTCTAGAACATTTTTGACACAGGACCCTCTTTCTCTGCTTCAGTGATAGAGAAACTTGTTTATCTGTTTTTTTTTGTTTTTCTTTTTTTTTTTTTTTTTTTTAATGTAGTTGAGACTGACCTGGAACTCACTGTGTAGCCCAGGCTGGTCTCAACTCACAGCAACTTGTTTTTTGTTTTGTTTTGTTTTTTGAGACAGGGTCTCACTATGTAGTTGAGACTGACCTGGAACTCACTATGGAGCCCAGGCTGGTCTCGAACTCACAGTGATCCTCCTGCCTCAGCCTCCCAAGTGCTGGGATTACAGGTGTGCGCCACCACGCCTGGCTTGTCTGTTTTTTTGTTTTGTTTTATTTTGTTTTTTTTCCCATTAAGTTTATTGGTACATTTTAGGTATACAATACAATTACAGAACCAGGGATTTAGCTCAGTGGTTCTGCCACCTGCCTTGCAAGCACAAGGTCCTGAGTTGGATCCCCAATATAAAAAAAACAAAACAAAACTGGGGCTAGGTTCCACTGCCTGCCTTGCAAGTGCAAGGACCCGTATTCAATCCCTGGTACCAAAACAAACAAACAAACAATACAGTTACATTCATCATTAGGAACTTGTACCTTTACATGATGTATCTTGCTTATTTTTTTCCCATTCCCCTGCCCTCCCTTTAACCCCTCCCACCTCCCTATTTACAAAGACTTTGTTTCTATTTTTTCCTTTTCTCATATTTTTTCCTTTCCTTCTTTCCTTTCCCCTATCCCTCCCACTTCCCCTACCCTTTTAGACCTTTTCTTCCTATTTCACATTATCAGTTTTACATTTTGATCCTTATTTACACACTTAGTTTTTCACACCAGAGAAACTATTCAGTATTTACATGTGTGTCTTACTTATTTCACTTGAGTATGACCTCAGTGTGCATCCATTTATCTATAAATGTCTCTGGTTTCTCATTCTTTATGGCTGAATAGTACTCCATTTTACTTTTTAGAAAACCACATTTTCTTTATCCAGTCTCCAGTTGATGAGCACTTGGGCTATTTCCAAGCTTTAGCTGTTACAAATTATACCGCTATAAACATGGGTGCTCATATATCGCTGTGATATGATTCTTTTAATTTTTTTTGGAAAGTAACCAGCAGATGAATGGCTAGGTCAAATGAGACCCCTAAATCCTAGTTTTTTGAGGCATTTCCATATTTCTTTCCAGAGTGGTTGCAGCAGTGGTTTTTGTTTTTTAAACAGATTTCCCTCTATTGCCTGAGCTGGCCTCAAACTTTTGATCCTCTTGCCTGAACCTTCTGAGTAGCTGGGATAATAGGTGTACCTCACTGTACCTGGCTATGTAGTGAATGTTTTAAAAGTAGCCCATTTCTATTATGGATTGCAGTATGTTAAGCATTTTATTTCTCCTGTTTAAAGGAATTATTGTCATCCCCATTAATTCTTACATTGTTCCTTGGAGCTGCACAAAAGAATTTTACATGTTTCTCCGTGATATATTCCCAAATGCTTGCTGATAAGTGTAATTTACCCAATAAAATCTTTGTTTTTCAAGATAAATTTATCTTGTTTCTATGTGATATTTATCTGGCAAGAAGAAGCAAAACAAATATCATGTATATGTATATAAAGATAAAGCATTTTAGCTATTTGCTTTAATGGATGTTTGCAATTTATACAAATTGTAAGTTAAGAAAAGCTCGGTAAATTCAACTATAAGATTATCAAGACATTCCAATGAAGGATTATGAAAGATGATTATTTTTAAAATACATAAGTATTTTATCTAACTTCAAAAATGTATTGTCAAACATTTAATACCCTTTTGGCTTTTATAGAAAAAAGATATAAAATACATTTATTTACAGAATATTTCTCCAACAATAGTGAGTGGGAATACTAGTGCCTAGTTCACAAGACACTTGTAAAGATGGAAAGAGCCTGTTTTGGCTTGTGTCTAGATGCACCCCAACCCCCAAAGCCTGAAGTCTTAGATGGGGTCTTTTTAGAAATGGGTGGATCTAGAGAGTGTAATGCTGAGATTAAGGGTATGTGATTGCTAAATCAGTCCAGATTGGTTTGGTATGCACCCTAAGCCTGGTAGCCTAGATAGAATACAAAAGGGACAGAAAGAAGCTGCTAAGCTTGCTTGGATTTGCTGCTTATGACTTATTACTTTTCTCTTCTGCCTGCCATGGACTTTTTCTCCTCTGCAATGCCACTCTTATCACATGGTGAGCTAAATAGACCTTTCCAACCTTAACTTTAGGTGTTGGGTATTTTATCTCAGCAACAAGAAAAAATAAGACAGAATTTGGTACTCGATGGGTTGGGATCATTGCTGTGACTGTTCCTGACTGTATGATTCAGGAGCCTTTGATATTGGCTTGTGGGAAGAGTTTAGAAAGGTTCAGAGATGCAGCCTGAAATAGCAGCACTGGAAAGTTTTAGGCTATACTTGATGGACATTCTTTGTCAGAGCAAAGAGCCCAGCAGAATGATTCAAACAGTTGTGAGTTTGGCCAGAAAGGAAATTCCAGTAATGCTGTGGTCGGCAGAGATAGAACAGAGGATAGGTTGGTCACTGAAAAGACTAGCAGGAAAAAGCCAAATATTTCAGAAGAACACAGCAGAAAATATGGCTTGAGGACATTCATAAGAACCAGCAGTACTCCAGCCTTTATAGCCTCAGAGTTACAAAGGTAAAAGACTTTGCTTTGAGAGCCAGAGCACCATGTTCTAGAATGATGGTAGCCTAAATTTGTTCCTTGGAATTGGGTTCAGAGTGCTCATCCATCCAGGAACTCAATGCCTACCGCCCAGAGAGAAAGAAGCCCAGCTGCTGCTCCGGCTAGCAGCAGACCTTGGTGGTCATCTATGTGGTGCTGGTTTTAGGTGCATGCAAAATGCTAGAGTTGTGGGGTCAGGAAGGCTTCCCCCCAGATTTCAGTAGAAGGCCTGGGAGCCAGGCTGTGTGCCCTTTAGAGGGCATTGTGTAAAGCTGTAAGTGTAAAGCGGAAGGTGCAGTGGAGATCCCACATGTTTGGAGAAGCCACGAGTGTGGATCATCTGAGGAAAACTGCAGGAAATAAGATGCATCCTGATACTTTCAGCTCAACAAAGGCATATCTAGGGAGAGATGAGATAGAACAATTCAAAAACTCACCTGCCATCTGAAATGGTAAAAACAGCTGAAGTAACAAAGCTGATAAACAAAGCTCTATAAAAAAATAAAATCAGAAGTAATTTCTCAGGTAACTTAGTGAATCTAGAGAGGATACATTTTTTTTTTTTTTTTTTTAGAGAGGAGCTTAGGAAAATGGTAGAAACCACCAATGCCCAACATAGGAAACAAATGGAATCCAAGAAACAGATTCAGTCACATATCCCACAGATTAAAAATTCTATTGAAAGTGTGTGCAGGAGAATGAACCAGTGTGAGCACAATATCAGATCTAGAAGATGGGATTGCTATTAGGGATCATGAAAGGAAAGTTTTCTATGCAAGGAAGCATGAAAAATCAATCTTAACAGCTGCCACATGATGCAAAGGCAAATAACATAGTATTGACTGGAGTCAGTGAAAAATCAGGAGATAGTACAAATGGCAGAAAAATACTTGTTCACTGAAGTAATCGCAGAAAACTTTCCAAGCGTGGAAAAAGAGTTTGACATATGGATAAGTGAGGCGTGTAGAGCTCCAATTAGCCATAATAAAAAAATCTGCCCCAAGACATATACTAGAACTCTAGAAAGCAACACAAGAACAGAATATTAAAAGATGTTAGAGAAAAGAAACTACTTACAAAAGAAAGCCCATCAGAATTACAACAGACTGCTAACTATACACCCTTAGCTCAAGGAGAGATTGGAGTGAAGTATTTAAAGCTCTAAAAGAAAACAACCTCCAACCAAGTTTGATGTACTATGCAAAACTCTCTTTTCAAAACTAATGGAGATTAGAAAAAAACAAAACAAAAAAGGAGATATAAGATATTTCCATGACGAAAACACCTAAAGAAATTCATGACACCAAACCAGCACTCCAGAATGTTCTGAAGGACATTCTAGAAAGACATTAACTACAACTTCATAAACCCCAACAGAACGAATTCACTGAGCAAGGCAAGTAATTAAACAGAAGGTAAAGAAAGGGAACCAACAAAGGAAAATAATATGATAGGGGTAAGTCAGTACACATCAGTTATAACCATCAACATAAGTGGTCTTAATTAACAAATAAAAAAAGGACTGACAGAATGGACTGAGAAATAAAATGCAACGGTATGCTGCACACAAGAAACACATTTCACTCCAAAAGCGATTGATAGACTGAACATCAAAGGATGGAAAACAATGTGACAGGAACCCGGAAAAAAAACAGGGATAGTTATACCATTTGCAAACAAAGTGAATTTTTAGCCAAGAGTGATCAAGAGAAACAAGGTCACTACATCTTTGTTAAGAGAACAATGGAAAAGGTAGAGATAACAATCATAAATATAAATGCACCAAATACCAATGCACTCAACTATATAAAACAAATATTAACTGATGTGAAAAATCAAACACTAATGCAGTTGTTTTGGGGACCTCAGTACTCCACTGTCTCAAATAGATCAACTAGGCTAAAAGTCAACAAAGAAATATCAGAACTCAACCACATTTTTGAACAACTGGACTTTAGTAGATGTCTATAGAATGTTCCACCCCACAACATCAGAATATACATTCTTTTCAGCTGAACACAGGACAGTCTCCAAAATAGACATCATAATGGCTCATAGAACATGCTGAAGTAGATGCAAATGAATTGAAATTATCTTATGCATATTATCAGATCATAGTGCAGTGAAATTGAAAATCAATGGCAAAAGAAACCACTAAAACTTCATATGGATATTAAATAACACCCTCTTGAATGACCAGTGTGTCACAGATGAAATTAATGAAGAAATCACATAATTTCTACAATTAAATGACAACACCAGTACAACATACCGAAACTTACAGGATGGAATGAAAGCAGTCCCATGAGGGAAATTTATAGTGGTAAATTCCCACATCAGAAAATCAAAATGAGCTCAAATAATTAACCTAATGTTGAATCTCAAGCTTCTAGAAAAAGAGCAAGTGAAGCCCAAAGCTCTTGCAAGGGAAGAAGTTATAAAGATAGAGCAGACATTAACGCAATTGAGACAGAAAACACAAAGAATAAATTGCAAAGAATGAATCCCATTCCTTTGATGCATTATTTTTTCTATCTAAAATGTCTTTCCTGTTCATTTCTATCTGACATTAACTTACTTTATAGTTATTTATGTGTATGAATTGTTTCTCATACCACAGTTTGAACTTACCAAGTGATATGTGTTTCATGTAGCCTTTGTGATCTTTAGAAAGGTATTTAGGCACTTACCTCCATGTAGTTACATTCTAGTATTGTTATGGGGGTTTTAGTTACTTTTCTTGTTCCTGAGACAAAATACCCAACACCCAAAGTAAAGGAGCAAAGGTTTATTGTACCTCACAGTTTGTAGAGGTTTCATTCCATAGCTGCCTCCAAGGCAGGGTGGCAGGGCAGAAGGGCATTGCAAAGGACAAATAATCCATGGCAGGCGGAAGGCAGCAAAGCAATGAAGTAGCAAGCAACAAGTGACAACCCTCATTCTGTCTTTTATATTTTATCCAGGATATCCACCCTTAGGGTGTGCAGGACTCACACCCTCAATCCTAGCATCAAACCATGAATCAATTCCAGCATCATATCCTTGATCCTAGCATCACACATCCTAGGTTCAGCCAACTCCAAAAAGCTCCACCTATGACCACATAAAGTTTTAGGGGACATCTAGATATAAGACATAATAATGGGAATTAAATAAATTAATGTATGTGAACTGCTTAGAACATAGATTGTAGTACATTGTAAAATGCCTTATATTTAGTAGATTTTCAGTGAAATTTTTAGTACAATTTTGAATAAAGTATATGGAATATTGATGAATAAATGAATTAAACTTAACATTCTCATTTTCATGGTAACTGATGTATAATTTTTTTAACAACCAGTATTTGTTCATTTGTTCATTCACCCATGAAGTAATAATAATTGAGTGGTTTCTGTGTGCCTGGTTATGGTGGGAGATGTTGGGAATACAATGATGAATAAAGACAACTGTGTCTGGCCATACAATGATCACATAAATATTTAATTGCTTATTGAAATATGAGTTCTGTAAGAGTGTATGACAGTGAGGAGCCTAAATTAATTTTGATGGTCTGAGAAACAATGAGTGTTTTCTAATGAAAATAAGTCTGAAGAATTCTCTTTGGTATAACAAATTATTGCACCTTTGCTTGCTTTAGAAAATAGGCCACTGTGCTCAACGTGGTAGTCTTAGCTGACAATATAGTTATTCTTAATAGTTGTAGTAACAATTAGTGATTGTTTTTACCTTATGTTAATAGAATTTTTCACATCCCTAAGGACCAGAAATTGAGATTCTTAAAGTATTGTTTCAAACTACAGTCCTATTTATGTAGTAATTAGGGTAAATTTAGCTATATTGTGGAAACGTCTATGAGTTGTATTTCATTGTCATAATTAGGGGAAAGGCTTTGGAATTTGGAGAATCCTTTATTTTTGTACATATAATTTTGTATTTGGAATTGTTTGTATTTCTCTACATTTAGGTATTAAATCCGCAAAAAGTGGAATTGTTAAGAGCCCAGATACAACAAGAGTTAGAAACTCCAATGCGAGAGCGTCTTCGGAATCTGGATGAAGTAAGTTATTATGTAGAACTGTTTGGTGTCACATTGCTTTGAAAATATCTTTCCTTTACTCAGAAAGTCTGCAGGGGCTCCCCTTTTACTCAGAGTCCTTACAGTGGCTTCTAACGTTTCACAATATTGGACTTCATTACCTCTCTGACTTGCTTTCGTCCACCTACATCCTACTGATGTTTCTTTGGCACTCCAGAAACAGTGCAGTTCAAGAGCCCTTGCTTTAACAGCATTATTTCTGCCTTGAATGTTCTACATTTAGATATCCCTTGCAAGTTGTCACCTAAAATATTACTTTCTCACTGAAGCCCACTTTGATTGTCCCCATCTCATTTTTTTTTTTCTTTTTTTTTTTGGTACCGGAGATTGAACTCAGGATCTTATGCTTGTGAGGTAGGCTGCAGAATCACTGAGCTAAATCCCCAGCCCTCCCTCTTCTCTTTTTAATATTGCAATCTGCTTTTCTCATCACAGCTTAAACCTTTGATTTCTCCCTTACCTTGCTCTGTTTTTCATTTATCCTCCAGTATGGTGAACCTTTTAGAGACCGAGGGCCCAAACTGCAACCCACAACTCACTTATTTATCACAAAGTGCCAACTATGCAATTAAACCTGAATACTGAGGTTTTAGTTTAGAAAAAAAACAACTATTATCTGATGCTTGGCTGGGCTCTGTGTGCCCACTGTGGCCTGAGTGCCATGGGTTCATTACCACTGCTCTAGTATGTATCATCTTCTAATGTGCTGGTATTTACTTATTTATCAAGCTTTTCTGTTTTAGCACTTGTAGAATGGAAGTTGCATGAAAGGAATGACCTTTATCTGTTGTGTTCACTGTTACAGTCAAAGTTTCTAGAATAGTTCTTGACATACAGTAGTGCCCAGTTAATATTTGTTGAATGAAAGAATGAGTTTCAGGCAATATCAGAAAGGAAAATATTTGTTCATTTTACTTTAAGATAAGACACCTCATTTTATGAAGTATTGATATAAATGTTTAATAAAGGGGACTGGGAAAAGCTGCAAAGAAATAGATTAGGTACCATGGCAGACATTTTATATTTTGCCTTTTAAAACAAGCGTACCAGGCCTTTACATACAGATCATTATGGTCCCTTTCAAAATAGACCCCTTTGAGAGGACCTAGTCTGATACTGCCATTTATACAAGATGATTGTGGAATCTTCTTTCATAATGGTTTAGTGGCTTGACACTACAATCTTCCAAATATGCTCCTAGTGTTAAAGTGTCATGGATTTGGAGTAAATTTAATTTCTGGAAGTAAGTTTACTCAGGCCCGAAATAGGTGATCAAATTAGGTAAAAGCATGCTTTAAAATTCAAAACGAAGTATATCTCTAATAACATCATGAAACTGATGTTCTTTATAGACTGGCGTAGAAATCTTTCAACTAAAGATTTACAGAGAACTGAATATTTTAGGAGACATGCTTTGCTTACCACCTAGTGTTCTGATATTTGTTGAAATAATGTCTCCTGCATCTTCTCTGTTGCCTAAGTTTCTTATTGAATATTCAGAATAGTTTTGTAGATTGTATGGATGCAGGGCTGATCCCCTTGGGAGCCAGGAAAAATGGCACTATGTTATGAGTATTCAGCTGGTATGTAGACTTGTAGCATCAGTGTAAAATTTGATGGAGCACTAGGTTACTGCACTAAATATTTAATCTTTTATCTACTTTGATAAAATCTTTCTTTTGGAGGGGTATGTTATACTTTAATATACTTTAAAAATCTAGCTGTAATTTGAAAAGTTTGTTACATTCTCAAGTATTATTTATTATTCAAGAGGAAAAACTCTTGCCATATTATACATTTTTATTCTAATGAGAATCAGTGAAGAACTAACATTAATTGAAAGGTAAAGTTCCGGGTTTTTTTTGGTACTGGGGATCAAACTCCGGCCCTTGTGCTTGGTAGGCAGGCAGCAGAACCACTGAGCCAAATCCCTGGCCCATTGAAAGGTAATTTGCTTTATTGGTGCCTTCTCAGGAGTATACTAATTCTGCATGTAGGATATTTAAAAGGGCTTTCCAAGTTTTATTTGTTCTGTTAAATATATATTTTTACTTTTAGAATGGCTGATAATATAATTTAAAATTATATTTGTAAAAGTGACTTAAAGTGAGTACAAATTTTACGTATAAATTTACCATGTCTTGCAATCTCCTTTTAATATAGGAAGTTGAAAAGCATAGAACTGAATATAATAAGCTTCGCTATGAACATACATTTCTTAAGTCAGAATTTGAACACCAGAAAGAAGAATTTGCACGTATTTTAGAAGAAGAAAAAATAAAATATGAAGCAGAGGTAAGTGATTATACTACTTTGAAATTGTTCTAGTTAATAATTTTGTTTTCTTTTTCTTATTTGCTATACTGGGGATTGAACCTATGACCTTACATGTGCTAGGCAAATGCTGTACCACAGAGCTACAGCCCCAGCTTTATTAATTAGTTAGCTCGAGGTTGGATTTTACTAACTTGTCCAGGCTGGCCTTGAACTTGTGATTCGCCAGTCTCCTGAGTGGCTCACATTCCAGGTGTGTGCCGTAAGAGTTGATTGCATAGTTGTGTTTTATTAATTAATGGTGAAGTGCATGTCATGATTTTCATCAGTATTTTTCTGTGAATGTTCTCTTTAACTATTTGATTATTTCTTTTCTCTTTTTTCTTCCCTCCTGGCAATAGAGATAGACACTTTGGAGCTTTGCATCATATAAAATCTCCTGTCTCCCATAGCCATGGAGATAGATTTCTCTGTGTAAATATAGTTTATGAGACTCCTTTTCAGCATTGTCTCCCCTACTTCTTTTTTTTTTTTTTTTTTGAGACAGGATCTCACTATGTAGTTGAGACTGACCCGGAACTCAATGTGTAGCCCAGGCTGATCTTGAACTCACAGCAATCCTCCTGCCTCAGCCTCCCAAGTGCTGGGATTACAGGCATGTGCCACCACACCTGGCTCCCCTACTTCTTAGAACCAAACTGCTTCTTGGGAGCTTTTGTGGTCAGCTCTTGTACCTTGTTCCTATTGATATAAACAAGGACTTTATACCTTTGTATGGACCCAACAGTTTCAGGAAGTATATTTTATTCTTTCTGATATCTGTAGCTATATATTTTCTCTTTGCTGCCAACAACTTGCATTCCTATTTCATCTTTATTGCTTTTGGGCAGCCTTTGTACTCACTTTGTCAACTGTCTCCTAGTTTTTCTAAAACTCAGGGTTCTGGTTTTCCTTCCTCAGGTTACTTTAAGATGATTTTTCAAGATAGGAGGAGAGAAATAGTAATTTTATTATGTCATATTTATAAAAAGTAGATTGGTGTCTAGGTATATGGTACATTTTGTGTAAACACACCTGCATTTTGTATATATTTAATTGTCTTTCTTTGGAATTAATAGCGAAAGTAGTCTCACTTTACCAATTACTAGATATTTACAGTATTCTAGATATCTAATAAAAACTCAAAAGCATACTGTTTGGATCTGATTTATTCTTATCAAGCAAGCAGAGTGTCCTATGATTGTCCGATAGATGAGAAACTATCTGAACTTTGGATCATTTGAGTCCATTAATATTATAGTCCCAGAACACTATAAATATTTATAATAGTCTTTACATTAAAAAAATTCTTAACAACTGGGTGTGGAGGCATGCACCTGTAATTCCAGCTACTTGGGAGGCTGAAGCCATGGGGATTTGGCTCAGTGGTTCTGCTGCCCACCTCACAAGCACAAGGGCCTGAGTTCAATTCCCAGTACCAAAAGATAAAAAAATTTTAAAAAAATTTGAAAAGGGCTTGGGATGTAGCTCAATGAGAATATAAATATAGCTCATGGTGCTTGCCTAGCACATGCAAAGGCTTAGGTTTAACCCTCAGTACCATGCATGCGCACACACAGAATTCTTTTTGGAGCTTTAAATATTTTATTTCCATATTCTACTATAGTCAGTGAGATGGGCAAGACTGTCTTATTTTTTCCATTTTTAAATTAGGAAGTGGAATCACAGGATAAGTGAACTGTCCAAAGTCTCAGAGAATCAGCCGCCAGGTTAACAGCAAAATTTAGATATACCAACTTTAGTGTCTCAGCTCCCAGATCAGAGTTCTCTATTTAAAATGACCAGGGATTTGAAGTTGCCATTGTGATTAGCAGCCCTCCAAGTGGGGCCTTCAGTGGCTCATTTGGTGCAGCAGAGTGCTGTGGTGGATGGCCTAATGAGCAAGCCTCTAACAACTGTGATTTTGTGGCAAGGGTCGTTTGATCTGTAATGTATGTGATTATAAAAGGTTTTCAATCTGTAAGTGTGAAAGACTTGAAGAAATGGCATGTAGAAATTTTCTTCTGGAAAACTGAAATGATAAAGACTTCCAGCCTAACATGAAGTTTAGTATACTGAGAGTTACTATTGAGGTTCCATGTAGCAATGGTTTATTTTAGACTTTGCTTTTAAAATCAAATGTACCTAGTAATGATTATTGTTTAATTTTTTAAAGAATGAAACCTGCATCTGAAACTTGAAAACTATTTATTTTTCACCATGAAAAGACCAGATGATACTCAAAATTCAAAATTTTTATTCAAAAAATGTAAGGGATTAGTAATGTCATTGATTTTCATGATTAGTATATCCTGTGATAGTGTTAGGAATTTGATGAGAAACTGCCAGCTAAGAAGCCATAATTAGTGTGGCCTAGAAAAGTAAAACTTATAAAACTAAAGTTTTTTTCCCTTTTAGTGAATAACTGGGTATTTTCTTTCATTTCATCACTTATGTTCATTTTCTGGTTTCTGTGCACAAACACGGTAAAACCTGATGAGGTGATTGTGCATCAAGAAACATCAAATACAATTACAAATGCAGTGGACCCTTGACTTACGAACTCAACTTGTTTGTAACTCAAGCTGGTCAATTATTGAAGGTTCAGGGTCCCCTACACAGCCTTCAAAGTCTCTTTCCTGTATAATTTTAAGCCACATTTTCTTCTGGGCAGATCTCAGTCTCTAAAGAAACATTGGGTCAGGATTTCTCAGTTAACCCCACACAGGAAAGGATGTTGTAATGTTAAGGGTTAAATCTATATCCTGGAAGCACAAGCAGCTGGCATGTGGGTTATAAATCAAAACTTTGGTCATAAAACAAATTCTACTTGTAACTCAAGTTGTTCATATGCCAGGCTGGTTGTAACTTGAGTGTCCACTGTATAACTTGTAGGAACAAACAAATATAATTTCAATTTAGCATATGTGCTGCCAAAAGAAATATAATTCAAAGCTTCAAAGTAGCACCTGCTCTTATTATTGTCTTCTAACTTACAGCTTAAACTGGTATACAAATTTATGTAATAAAGATGCAGGCATACATTGTTTTATTGCTCTTCGCAGTTTTTATACTTTTTACATACTGAAGGGGGGCAACTCTAGGTTGAGAAAGCATTGGCACCATTTTTCCAACATCATGTGCTCACTTCATATTTTTGTAATTGGTTATATTATGGTGACTGTCACAATCTTCCAAACTTTTTCATTAGGATTATACCTGTTAATCATGATCCATGATCAGTGATCTTTGATGTTACTATAGTAATTGCTTAAGAGGGTCATGAACTATGCCCTGTCAGAACGAACTTAATCATAAATATGTGTCTGGCTGTGCTACCAACGGGCCAGTCCCCTGCTTCTGTCTCTTTCCTTGTGTCTCATTATTCCCTGAGACATAATAATACATTAGCCCAATTAATAACCTTTCAGTGGCCTCTGAGTGCTCAAGTACAAGGAAGGGTCACACATCTCTCACTGTAAACCAAAAGCCAGAGATGATCAAACTCAGTAAGGAAGGCATGTTGAAAGCTAAGAAAGGCTAAAAGTTAGGCCTCTTGTGCCAAGTAGTTAACAAAGTTTTACATGCAAAGGAAAAGCTGTTAAAGGAAATTTAAAGTGCTACTGCAGTGAATGCAGGAAAGATAAAAAGATAAAATAGCTGCTGTGGAGAAAGTTATAGTGACCTGCGTAGAAGATTAAACCAGCCACATTTCCTTAATTTAAAGCCTAATCCAGAGTAAGATCCTAACTCACTTAAACCCTATGAAAGCTGAAAAAGGTATGTACATAAGCTAGCTTTTTGCTGTTTTAACTGATTTCTGAGAATATTCGACTGAGAAACGGTTTATTGTTTGTTTTGGATGGAACTCAGGACCTTGTGCTTATGAGGCAGGTAGTGGCACGAGAAAAGGATAATTTTGGCTCACAGTTTGGAGGTTTTAGTTCATGAGTGGTTGGCGTCCATGGCTAAGGGCTTGTGACAGTACATTTCTGTTATCCTCTTTGAGGGTGTATCCTCCTGACTGGGAGAGTCCATTAGGCCCTTCTTCAAAGTTTCTACTACCTCCCAATAATACCATCCTAGGGAAAAAGCTTTTCACATTTGGGTTTTTGAGGGACACTTTTGATTCAGACCATGGCAGTAAAGAAGCTGCCAAGGAAAAGATTGAAGCTAGCAGTGGTTGGTTCCTGTTGTGTAAGGAAAGAAGCCATCCCCATAATGTAAACATGCAGGATGAAGCGGCAGATGCTGATAGAGAAGCCTCATTGAGTTATCCAGAAGACCTAGCCATGATAATGATGAAAGTGGCTACGTTAAAGACAGATTTTCAGTGTAGATGAAACGGCCTTCTGTTGGCAGAAGATCCCACCTAGGACTTTAATCCCTAGGCCCCCACCTTTTTTTTTTTTTTTTTTTTTTTTTTTTTTTTTTTAGGATCAAACTCAGGACCTGGTGCTTGCAAGGCAGGTGCAGCGCCACTGAGCTGAATCTCCAGCCCACACCTAAGACTTTAATAGCCAGAGAGGAGAAATCAGCATTTGGCTTCAAGGGACTGGCTTGCTCTTTTGTTAGTGAATTAGAGTGAATTTAAGATGAAGCCAGTGGTCCTTTATTGTTCTGAAAATCCCAGAACCTTTAAGAATTATACTAAAGTCTACTCTGCCTGTGCCCCCATCAGTGGAACAACAAACCTTCATGACAGCACATCTGCCTACAGTGTGGTTTATTGAATATTTTAGGCTCACTGTTGAGACCTACTACTCAGAAAAAGGATTTCTTTGCTTGACAGTGCACTTGGTCATCCCAGAGCCCTGATGGAGATGTACAACAAATTCCTGTTGTTTTCTTCCCTGCTAATGCAGCTTCCATTCTGTTAACCCATGGATCAAGGAGTGACTTTGGCCTTCAAGTCTACTTCCTCCGATGCATTTGGGCAGAATAAATTGAAAACTTTTTGACATGATTCACCATTTAAATGC